CGAGAATCATCCTAGTATCTTTATGATTTGGCTAGGAAGAAAAGAATTAAAGGTGGCTAATTCACATTTTATAGGTGGTTAGGATTTGAGTATTAATCCAACTCCAAGTACCCTATTCCATCACATTTCACAAATTCATTAGCTAGTCTTTAAGCGTTAATTAGATTAATTAGTCTCTTTAGTTTAAATCATTAAAAATCAATCAACTCTTGAGACTTTTTAATTTAATTTAATTGCATTAAAAAGCTCTAAATTTAATCTTTAAACACCACTATACTATATTGTTGGTTAATCTAGTTTAAATTGCTAAGCATACAACAATTTGGTTTAATTTTTGGTGCCGTTGCTAGAGAGGTTGATTAGGATTGAATTTTTGTGTTTCTTCATATGGTACTTTCATTTTCATCCCTACCATCTTGCTGCCATATCATCACATTTACATCACTTCATTCATTTTTACCATTTCCATTCATTTCCACACACTTCTACTTTGTTTTTCTTATTTTGGGTCTTTTTGAGTTTTGTTGTGTTTGGGTCAAATTGAGTCATTTTGATGTGATTTTTTGTTTTTAGAGTCCTCTCTAGGTCTTTTTTTTAAGGTAATTTTGGTGTACATTTTGAAGTCAAAAACTTATAAAAATATTTTCATTTCGGTTGTTGTCCTAAAATTTCATTATTGTTAAAATTTGTTTGAATTATTATTACTTTTTTTCTTGATTTGGGGAAATTGTTTGGTGCATGACCAGGGAAAACCCATCCTTTTTAGCTAGCTTAGGAGGTCACATTTGCATCAAGACAATCATATAATTGTTGCTCAACTCATGAAAATTTTTGTAAAAGTTGAGGATAAGAATCCATCCCTTAATCATAATCAATCATGTGCATGAGGGGCAATGACAATGACTTGATTCGATACTTTATATGAGTATTGGAACTGATTTCAAGGGTTGTTGGCCAAATGCCCTCAACATGGTATTACAAGTGAAAATTTGATCCAATACTCTTATAATGGGCTCAATTCTAGGGATAAAGTCAATGTTTGTGTCGCTAGTGGGGGTTGTTTCATATTTAAGTACTTTGAAATCTTAGAGCTTTTAGAGAATATGGCCATAAGTAAGGAGGAGTACTTAAATAATGGGAAATATAAGTAATGGGCCTATGTACAGGATGAGTAATGTCTTGAGTGGGAGTCAACTTGACTTACTTTGAAAATTGAAAAATTGCTTGCACCCTCTAATCTCAATTTGAATGTTAGTGTTGCACATCTTTCACAAGCTCTTATATCTTTTGCATTTCATGGCCAAGTTCATAATGTTGGTATGTTTAATATTGGTCCCTTATTTTTGTACCATTTGTGATTCTCTTATGCATTTTGAATCTAATGTCCTTATCAAGTTGAGCAGGTAAATGTATGGTCAAAGGAAAATATAAAATCAAGGGATGTATTTAAACAAAGACAATCCTAATTGGAGGAATTGTACAAATTTTTCATGCCAACAAAGGGAATATTTAAGAGAACTAAGGAGGAAGACCCTCTAACTTACAAGGTCAAAATTTCAACCATGATAAACTAAGCTCTAGTTTTGGTTAAGGAGGTAATTCTTTCAATCTTAATATTTCCCATGAAACAAATTGAATCTACTTCCTCTTCTAGACCTATTGAGATTTATGTTTTGAGAAATGAAATGAATGCTAAATTTAATGTTCTTAAATATGTTATTACCAATCAAATGGCTTCTATTATTAATACTTTTAATGTAGCTCAAGCAAAGATTGAGAAGTGGCAAGGAAGTAGGAGAATCATTCAACCAAAGCTAAAAAGAAGACAAGGTTGAATCTATGGTTCAAGAGGTTAAGTCTCATAGTAAAACTTTAAACCTTACTACTTTTGTTACCAAAGCCCTCTTGTTGAGGACGATGAGACTATTAAAGAAATTGTTTGTAAGCCATCTCTAATTAAGCGAGAGAAGCATACCTATTTAGCCAAGGTAGATAAACCAAGCAATTAGCTTGTGCTAAAGAAGGGGAAAGCTTTAAAAGAGAAGATGGAAGACAAGGAGGAAGAGGAGAGGTCAAGCCTTGAATTGATGAAGAAATTGCCTTTCCCTCAAGCAATAAGGATGCCAAGGAAAGAAAAGGGACAAGATAGTGAGGTATATAAGCTCTTTAATAAAATTCATGTAAATATACCTATACTTAATTTGGTGAAGAATGTTCTTCAATATGCTAAGTTCTTAAAAGATTGTTGTACTAATAAAAGAAAATTCCCTCCAAATGCTATGGTGCAACTTTCTTCTTCTATTAATGCTATAATGAAATCCCAATTGTCAATTAAATGTGAATATTCGGGGTCATTAACAATTCTTTGCAAAATTAGTCAATTGCAATTTTCATATGCTTTGATTGACTTGGGTGATGCTATTAATGTGATGTCTTAATCTATTTATAAAGCCCTTGGTTTGAATTGCATGTGCTCTACAAAAATGATTTTCCAATTAACTGATAAAACACTAAGGCATGTATGTGAAAAAGTTGAGGATGTTTTAGTTAGTGTTAGAAATATGCCTTTCCTTGCTAATTTCTATATGCTTGACATGTTTAAAGAGAATAATGCAGAGGATATTTTGATACTTGGTAGGCCTTTTATGAGGATTGCCCATACTTTGTTTGATATGAAACAAGGTAAACTTACCTTAAGGTGGTGAGGATTTGGTTACTTTTAACATTTATGAGACTAAAGCATCCCTATAAAGATTACTCTCTCTTGGGTCTGAGTGCTATTGAAGTTGTTGTTGAAGATGAATATGCTTTAGATATTGTTTTAAAAAAATGTTTTTCCTCTTTAACTCTTATTCTCTTGCATGTCTTTCATTTCCTTATTCTTGTATTAGGTGTTATTCTTGATTCACTTGATCTTGAGATATGTATTATTTCTTGTTCCCATTTAGGTGAAAAGTAGCCAAATTATATGGTCAACATCCACTTGATCTTGATGTGGCTTGCCTTCTCAAGCTATTAGAAACAAGCTGCCATGACAAATTTTTTAGCCAAACTTTTAACGTATCATAAATTTTCATCCAATGTTCGACTGAGGTGATTTAAGTATCTATAGAAATCTTTTTCTCAGCTCTAGTATATGGCATTAGTATCACACTCAAATCATTTCTCAATCAAAAATTAAATACCAAAATGCAAACTTACTCAATTCTTGCTTTCAAAAGATAACTAGGGTATCCAAAATCCTAACCAAGTGTCATCAACTCACAACCACCCTTAAACCACACTTAATAGACTTATGACAACCTATGTAACACATAATAACAACCATATATCACATATTTCACAATTCCAACCCTCAACCCCTTGATTTTAGAAATAGCAGGGGGAGGCATTTTGACTTTAAAACTCAATATAATCTAATAAAAACATGCATATGGTCAAATTTATCCTTGTATTAGTATTTTGACCTTGCTCATATATCTCAACTGAAAAGATACCATATACACTAAAGCCTAAAATACACCTTTCAATACTCAATATTTAATAGCACAAGTAATAATGAATATAAACATCCTAATTGATAATATCAATTAATTACACATATACATCTAAAATTACATGAGGTACGAATTAGGAAATTGAGTTCCTAAGCCTTTGGTACTTTCTCTTTATCCTACTCGAAACCAATGCTTGTAAATTGTTAAAAAAGAGGGGTGAGCATAATCACTCAATAATCAAGGTTAATCTAGCTTATACAAATGTATGTTAATTAATCATAGTGATGCAAATGGTATATTTAAATAAAGAATATTTTGCATATTAAACAACCCAATTCATATAGTTATAAAGCTAATAGTCATGTGACATTATGTTACTTAACATGCAAGGGTCACAACAATAGTAACTATGTGCCCTTCGTAAGACATGTAAGACCACAAAAATAACAACTATATGGTCATATAATAATATGCATTAAAATACTTATGGGGTCACAATACTAACAACTATGTGCCCCTGTCAAATTATGCTAGACCATATTAATAATAGCCATGTGGCAAAGATATGATATACATGATCAATACGAATCTTATACCCTCCTATTACCTTTGACATGAAACTAATGGCTATTTAGGCTATGTCTATGAATTCAAACTTCCTAAACCTTCTACTTATGAGGAGCTACCTGACTAAGGCTACTACACTCACTTCTGTGACATGGTCTCCCCTAATACTAACAACTATAGGATGTCGTATCCGTAATCTAGCCTCCTACTAGTTAAATTTGAGTCCCTCAAAGAACAAGTGGGACAATCTCTATACAATAATGGGATAATAACTACCTCCCTATTCCAACATTAAGATGCTAATGCCACGTGGGTTGACAACATCTACTGATAAGGATTGTCACTTGCCTTCAAAATTAAACTAAAGCTAACCCTAATGCAATATAGGGCTAACCCTATGTCATCTCTCAATGAATGATTTCAAGTCTAATTTAAGGTTATCTAGTGAAATAAATTACCCAAATTTGAAATTGATTAACTAATTGCTAACCTAATTATCTAGTAAATTAAATTAGCAAACTAAACCTAATTATGAATGAAGTGGCTTTCCAATTTAAGTAGGAACCTTAGGGTGTTGCTAATAGAACAATCTTAATTTCTAATCAAATATGGAAGCTCACTTAGCTCCTCTTCTTTGCCTGAAAAATGCATTTAATTAAGACAACTATCTCAAGTATCTTAGTTTCACTAATTCAATTCTCTAAGTGCTATTATAAGCCCCCTAGGTAGCTTTGCTCTAAAATCAACCCAGTGTTTAGCTAAAATTCATTCTAAAATGCCACTTTCTAAAGCTGTATCTAAGTTTAAACTATGAAAACTCAAGCAACTCATCAAGTATTCACCACACAATTACATGCTAGGCTAATACAAGACATTCACCCATTGAAATCACATATTACCATGCAAATTCATAGAGTGGATGAAATTCCAGCAACACATAGGTCATGAAATTCAACTCAACAATCTTGTTTCAACATTACAAATTACAAATGACTATGTAACCAAAGTCAAATTAAATCACAATCAATAATAGTCATAGTATTCTAATGGAATTGAAACAAGAAATAGTTAAGCTTAGCCAAGTGAAGACTTGAAAATTCCTCTTCTATCAACTCTCCGCTAGGATTCCATGGAGACTCTAGCTAGAAAACATTAAGAGCACTTTGCTTCCTCCAAGAACACAACTAGATTGTGGCACATGCTTTATACTTCTTGATGGATTGAGCTTCAAATCTCCTTCTAGTTGCTTGAGGTTGGTTTGGCCTTAAGAGAGGAGAAGAGTGGTGGAAGACTTGAGTGGATTTGATGGTGAACAGAGGGAGAAATAGTGGCTGTATGAAAATATGGTGTAGAGAGAAAGAAGAGAAAAATGAAGAACAAGATGAATAAGAGAGAGAAAGTATGAAGGATGAATGAGATGATGATTGATCTGATTTTTTTAGGGTAAATGGCATGCTCTATTTAGTTTTGGCATCAGCTAAAGCTTAATTAAAAAATAGGAAAAGAAATTAAAATAAAAATGAAAGCCTTGTCATACTTGCAAGATGATATCCTCTTATTGGTTTGTAGATGATTTAAATATGTGCCTAATTTTTCATGTGTCATCCACATTTTTAAGCTATTTTAATCTCCAAATAAAGGCTAATTTATGTGCAAACCATCAGCTTTTACCTCAAGGAGTATTGACTTCAATTGCCTAATTGATGCACAAGTCACATACCACCTATGTCACATAAATCACATAATTTAATTAAATAGCATGTGATATAATAAAATCTAATAAATTTCTAGGATTAAATTCATAATTAGAGGGGAGAATTTATTAAATTAACTAAGTTTTAGGCTGCATAAAATTATATAAAAATTTTCATACAAAGACAACCCGAAAACTAGGTCAAACTAAGGCACTTCAGAAAGTGTTGACTTTTTATTTAATTACTCTCAAACTAAAATAAATTTAAAAATTTTAATTTCACCACTCATTAACTGGACATATTAATTTTTCTTGTACATTTTCTAAAAATTTTATTTTTTGAACCAATACCCCTAGTGTATTGAACTTAGAAACTTAGGTAATTTTTCAAATCTAATACAATGAGTGCATTTTGAGATGATAAAATATTAATAAAAAAGTCTTAATTGACAAATAAAAGTAGGTAACAAATGTTTTCTATCAATACTCCTCTCTCTATAGGCAAACTCCTGCCTTACATGATCATGCCATTTATAAATGTTCAACACGTAGCAAGCATATCCATACCTATTAATAGCATGTAACTTTTATTGACATCAATCTCATCATATCATGCTTATCAATATCACAAACACAATTATGGTCAAAACAAGTCCCAATTCATGATTTTCCCTTTTTATAGGCATACTTATACACTTTAATATTTACTCACAACAATAATTATATATAAGATATATTTTTCAAAATTGCCATTCATATCAATTTTATCATATCATATAAACTTATTCATATCACCTCCACTTGCATCAAATATCATTTTACAATATATCACATTTTTTCAAATAAGTATTTTCACATATCATCAATTAATCAAACAAATGCACAAATTAAATTTTTCTCTACTACCTCAAATCTTTAAGAGGTTAAATATTATCCTTCAATGACAACTTACTTTTTGAGCTAAATTCAAGCTCACTGATGCTTCATAAAGTTAGTCTACAATTACATTAATATCCATAACTAATAATCATTAAAATCACCACCTTTAACATATAATTTCATACTTTAATAACTAAATTTCTCAACTACAATATCAACCTTACATCAAATGAGTTCATTAACTTTTATTAACTTTATTTAGCTCTCAACAACTTAATTAATCACTAATGTATCATCCAACAACCCAAAATTATCATCAATGTGATAAATTACTCACTTCCAACTCTCAAATTTCAATAGTATAGTTACCTAAAACTCTCAACTATTAAATTGAATCATCACATTAGCTTTATTAACTCCCATTAACTCCAACTAACTTTATTAAACCCATCAACCACCTATAGTGGCTTCCAACAACCCTAAGCTTCATCACTAATAGCACTTTAATGCACAAATTCTATAATGACAAATAATAATAATAATAATAATAATAATAATAATAAATCTCCTAATTTATATTTTCTTTAAATTATTTTTATGGAAAATAGAAGGGTGAGTTACTGAAACTTACGCTAATAGCTTACTTGAAGGTCAAAAGTTTTAATTTTTGTTAGTAATAAATTAATTTTATTTAGTTTAAAATTATAAGAAAATTACCAAAATATTCGTGTCTTTTATGTTATTAGAAGAAATTTTGGGCCTTCATTTGTAATTTTTGCAATTTCATAAAGATCAGATTTATATTCTCTCTTTCAGTTAATATACACGCACCGCCTCATTTTTCCTTTCTTCAGCACTTTCGACAAATCCAGAACCACTGAGAGTCAGAGAAATCTTTTGTTCATTCTTTGCTCATCTCCTTATCATCGTTGTTCTTCATTTCTTCCCTCACCACCGTTGAACTTGCTTGTTTCTTCTCCATTGAGGATCTGCCATGAAACGGCACTGCTTCTCATTTCCTCTGTATTTGGTTACTACCAATTTATGCTCACCATTAAAAGTGAAGTGTGCTTGGTCTTTGCCTCTTCTTCCTCCTCAGCTACTGTGTTTAGATCACTGGAGTTGTTGCAAGAAGGCTGTTCAAGTCAACCTACTCTCTCCTTGCTCAGGCTTCATCGTTGATTCGTTCTTCTCCCTCCTTCGGCGTCATATAGGTGATAGTAGGTGGAGCTCGTCCTTCTTCCCCTTTGGTGGTCTACCGCTATTACGGAGTACTGTTGTAGGTTTAAGATCTTCTTCCTCCTCTGCTCTTCCTTGACCACGTGATGGCTTCCCATGTTTCTTCTTGGTTCATGCCGTCATTGTGTTCAAGGGTAGGTAGCCGTAGGTGCGTCAGTTTCATCCTCTATTTTGCTTAGTTAACTTCCTCATCTTGCTACTAATTTTGCTGATTGAGATAGGTGTTTGGGGTCTTATTTTCTCACTGAATATGTGAGTGTGTTATATGGCTGAGTTGTGACTTATTTTTTTATTGTTGCTATGCATAAATAGGAGGATAATGGGATTTAAACAAGTTGAAAATTTAGTTCTAGAAGTGTGATTTTTGGTAGATAAATGCACTTGTGTTTATGTTGAAGAAGAGGAATTAGATTTAATTTTCTTTAAGGTCTAATTGAATTTTTTTCTGTTAAAAAAATTGAAATTGGGTTGGCTAATTGAGTTCAATATCAATTTTGGGATTTGTAGGAGATGAGATTTTAGGGGAAGAGGTTTAGTGTTAATTTGAGAATTAATAGATGATAAGTGTTCAGTAAAATGCCTCAAGGAGAGTTTTTCTTAAATATCTTAGATTTATGAAATTTGATTGGTTATTAGTTGAGTGTTATTGATCCATGAATTTAGCTTGTAGGTTACAAATTAAAGGAATTTAATTATTATGAATTTGTATGTGACTTTAAATTCTTAGGGATAGAATGGTTATTAATAAAGTGTTGGATAAAATATGATAGGTTAGAAAATTTTAATTGTATGGTTAGAAACAATGTACCGAAGAGAAAATGTTACTTCAAGTAAATAGGTTGATATGACTAAAGCATTATGGAGGAAATTAGTGACATAACTGATAGTGCTTAAACATTATTACCTATAAATCTAAATTGGGCTTTTGCAAAGGAGTTCATTAAAGAAATTATTGAGATCTTATCTAAGGCCCTGGAATTATTGAGAATTATAAGGTTGGAGAGTGTATAAGGTATATTATTAATTTAGAAGTCATACTTGGATGTTTGGAAATGGTTAGTCAAGAGAATTCAAGGTTGTATGTTTATTCAATGGTTTGGAATGTCGTACATTAGATGCTCGGTAAAAATCCTAATGAAAAACTTTTATGTATAAATTTTGTTGTTAAAATTTCAAATTTTTTTATTATTTTGTTGAATGGATTCCCTTTAAAGAGATTTGTTGATTCAAAAGTAAAGTTCATTAAAAATCTTATTATACTTTATAGGGTAACTGTAAGGAAGGTGGCTTGATTGGAGTTATAAGAAATGAATTTTGAGTTTTGAAGATTCTACAGGTAAGTGGATAGCGTCCCAATTGATATTTTATTAAAATCTTCTTTATTCAAATATTACATTTTTATACAAATTCTTTTTACGACAATAATGTGATTATGAGATATTTTATTGATTAAATTACTTTATTTCATGAAATTATTTTACCAAAATTGATCATTTTAGTTAATCAGTAAATACAAGTTTGAGTTCTAATTGTGGGATTTCATTTTGGAAATTATTGAATTGCTACAGAAAAACAATTCATGCGAGTTTGATATTGAAAAGGAAAAGTTGATTGAATAGTGATCAATTTCTCACATGTTTGAAATTGAATTTGAAAAGGACTTTATATAGAACACTGGTTGCTAACATCAGTTCCATTAGCCCTTAGTGTGCCATGGAACACCTAGCTAGCGGGGGTGTGTACAGGAGGTGCTAGCCCCGTGCGATGGCCAACGCACGTGGAACGGACGGATGGTTATTCATGAGCATTGTATTCATGTTTGTTTCGTGGCTTCAAGTTGAGTTTAGTTAGCAATACCCTCGTGGACTAGGTGTTCCCGTTTGTTTCGTGGCTTCGGCTGTGTTTGGTTACTTACCTTCGTACATGGTGTGTCCACGTCTGTTATCATGGTAAGAGTTACGTTTGGTTATTTACCCTCATAAAATAACCCTCGTAGGCTTTGTGTCCACATTTATTAATTATTCTAATAAGTCCCTGTAGTATAAATTTGATTGTTTGATGATTTTACATTCTATTGGTTTTTAATTAGTGAATTATTTATAATTATTTATTTTATTTATTTACTTTCTTGCAATCAAGTAATAATAATACTTGATATGATATTTTAATAGTTCAAGACTTTATTTAAACTTTATAAAATTCTTTTATTTTTGAAGTTTATTAAATTTTTATGAAAATCGTTGCCTCTTTGAATTGCATAATCGTTTCAAACTTTTCCTTTATTCATATTCAATTATTTATTGTTGGGACATTATTCACTAGAAAAGATATTTTGATCTCACATGGTATAGTTGAACTCGTGACTCGAGATATCCATTGAAGAGTTTTATTACTGAATTGAAGCAAAAGAATTGTTTTTGTCAAATCCTAAATTGATGAAAAATTTAAACTTTATACCTACGTTGGCGTCTGGCCTTAGGTGCTCCACGTAAACTATAAGTAGGATCCTTACATTTCTTTTAAAATTAAATATCTAATTTAATATTATTATAATTTTTAATTACTTTATTAGTGTGTTTAACGTATTAATTTTGGAGTTTCTCTGATCATGGCTTAAGGGATATGAGTTTTGTGCCCATATCCCGTGCCGGTCATACTTGATTTTTGAGGTGTGACAAATTCATCCATAATTGAGAGCCCATTCTCATGAATGCATAAAACCACTACCTCTAAGCTTAGATAACTTAAACAACTCATATTAACTCCATTTAAGTCATTGAGTTTAGACCTAAAGCTCTCAAGGTTTGAAAATCATCCTCCAACTACAAATCCTAACTTAAAAATGGTGTAGAGAGGAAAAAGGAATGGTAAGGGAGGCTTACCTTAGTGATTAGAAAGCTCTAAATCTCTCC